CCATTACTAATTACCCATAGGCAACCCGGTTAGCAAACTTTTACACAATATTTACATATTTATTTTGAGGGAATACCACTAATACACACAAATCAAAGACTTCCACATCATTGGCAACAGGGACAGCAATTGGTGTTGCAGGCGCTGAGGCTCAGATCCACTCGATCAGTGCCCTCCGGCATGCCCCACCCATTGCTGGTCGCCGTCGCATTCGATGTGAACTCTTTATCGATGCCATCCTGTAGCAGTTGCGCCGTCACAGCTCGAATCGGCGCATTCGAGTCGTCCAAATCCAGCTCACACACGCAGTTGGCATGCAGATTGAAGACGGGCTGCAGCCACTGAGCTTTGGACTTGGCTTGGCTCTTACGGCAGCCTCGTTGCTTTGTGCGTTTCCTTTTCTTGTTGCGCCGCTTGGGACTATCGTGAATTTTGTGCGTGGGCTTGGCGGGCCCTGTGATGGCCGCCTGGATTTCCGACTCGTACAGTCGCTGGTGTCGCTCGGCTGAGCTCGTGCGGCTCGACATCGAGCAGTAGCGACTGTTGATGTGGTCTATGGTCTGCAGTGTCTCCTCGAAGGCCACCTCCAGCTGCTCCACGGTCTGCAGCGTCTCCCACAACAATGTGTTCTTCATCATTTTTTCTACTTAAAATTTGACGTGTTTGAAAATGTTTTTTGATAATTAATGCTTGGATATTATAAAATGCTTGGATTTTTTATATATTGGGTAGAATATTTGCTGAATAAATTAATGATATAATATTTACCTCAATCCCTTCCACAAACTCTTAGTCAAGTTATAAATTCTCTCTTTCTAAGCCAAAAGCATATTTATTTATAATTCCTATGCAAATCCTATTTATAGCCTTTCTTGCTTCTCTGTATTTCTACATGTCCATAAAACTGACTTACGACCTGTCAAATATATGAAGTATATGAATATATAAAACAATGTTGATAAATTCCCAAAAAGCCAAAGGCCACAAATTTAATGGTAAAATGTGAAAAATGTGCACAAATTAGGGGCTGTCATTGCTCGTATATCTGCGCATTATTAACAGCTCCGCCCACAGCCTGCACCCAGAAGAAGGAAAAATAATGTAAAGATGGGAAAATTAAGCCCAGACTCATATACATGCGAACTGTCTATACATCATAGCCCAGGCACACACCCGTCAGGCCAGTCAGGGTGGGGAGGCTTCGGTCGTAATAGGCGAATATCTTTTCATAATGCGCGCTGAGCTCTGCCAGCAGCTGAGAAAGTAGTTTCCATTTCCGCAACGCGAGCGAACATGCAAAACAACACGAGCACAGGGAAAGCAGCCGAGGCAGCAGAGAAAACAAATAAGGGTGCTTCAAATGGAGACTGATCGACGGGCAGATGCCCTATAAGTTGCAGAATTTAATGCATTGCACCTAACTGTGCAAGTAGTAGTGCTTAGCAATACTAGATACCCTGGAACTAGAGGAGATGCTCGACATAAATGGAAAGACCCTGGAATCCAAATGGATTTGATAATATTTTTGTTATTGGATAATGAAAATTGATAGTACGAATTAGGAATGAGAAAGAACGATTTCGAGAAATATTATTATGAAAAATATTCATTCACCAATATTGCGAGGATGATTATAATGCTAACATATTAGTAGAACTCTTATCGCTTATTAGATTCCGCTTAAGTCTTCCGAGACTTTACACAAATATATATTGAGAACTACAATATTTCATTATGATATAATAGTTCCACTCAGAGCCACATAGAGCCACGTCCACTCATCTAACCTTACCAAATCACAAACACAACCCTCACTATCACATATGCTCCCTTTAAAACCAACTCACCTCACACATGCGCTTTAAATGTTTGCTGGGTATAAAAATTGGATTATATTAATTTGAATTAATAACATATTTTCCGGCAGACTTTTCCTCTGGAATGTTGTTATGCTATGCGGCGCAGCCAGAGATGGGGCGGAAAAACCCTCACAATTTTCTTGTTATAATTTGCTTGTCTATGCGTAACGAGGCGCGCTCTGATTTATAATATGCGTAGCTTGAAGGACTGCTATAATAACCAACCGACTTACCTATCTACGTCCTCTTTATTTGTCTGCATAGCTATGCTTGTTGTTGTTGTTGTTGTAGCTGCGAGGTATTCGTCTCTTTAATGTGCTCTTAATATAAAGTTAATTTGCATCGGCATTTAACGCACTGAGTTCAGTTCGACTGTAGTTTTCGGTTATTAAGTGATGTACAGTGAAGAGTGGCTAAAGAGCACAGTTTTCTAGTCTTCAATTCTATTGTTCTTTGAAATGCAGCAGACAAAAATGTTTATAATATAAGATTTTTATATTGAGTAGAGCAAAAAAAAAAAAAAAAGAAAAGAAATATGACTAAAACTCATTGGTTTTTAGTACCCACATAAAAAAAAAAAATTAAAATTTTTTTTTAATATATAAAAAAAAATAAAATTAAAAAAAACATGCATGTAACATGTAAATTAACATGTATCTAAAGACTGTTTAATAATGAAATTCTAAATATTTTTTATTTTTTAAGAATTTTTATATCAGCAAAAATACAATTTTTTTTCGTTAAAAATATTTCACTACAAAATAAAAATGTTAATTTTATAGATGGAATCCAAACAGGAAAATAGTTAGTATAAAAATCACATATCTGAAATATTTCAGATATTGATATTTATTTTTAATAAATTCAATATTATCAAAGAATAGTCTGTACCAAAAGTTTCCTGATTTATGCTGAAGATAATTATAAAAGTTTCATCAACTTCAACTCCTTTCACCTACTACATGTTCCAATCAGATATCACTATAATGAATGCTCACAGTTTATGGAATTTAAAGTCTGATTGGCATTTCAGTCAAGCTTTCGAGTTTTGAGTGTCGAGTTTCGAGTGCTTAAAGTGCATTAAGATTGAACCTATGTGGGTGAGAGAAGAGAAATGCGCAGCATCAGTGTCGTCCACATGGACCACATGCCAACCCTTGCCCACCTCTTTAGCTCGTCTAAACCCATTGCCTTGCATGCCCCCTCATTTTACCCCTTTTCCCTTTTTTTTGGTCAGTTAACAGTGCAGCGCAGCGGCAATTTATTGACTGTATTGAGACGGGCTACGTGCCGCACATAAACCGCACTTATCTGGCTGACTGACTAACTGACTGAATGCCTCGCTGCCAGCTGCTTGGCCGGCATTCGCTCTGCTTTGCTGCTGCGTCCTGCGTCCTTCCAGCCACTTCCTGCCACTGAAAGGCGATAGCAGCCAAGTCGAAGAAAAATTGCATGCGGTTTCGAGAGCAGCAGCTAAATTAATGTGTCTGTCCATGTGCGGTGCACAGCGAACTGTCTCCCCTTTACCCTTGTGCCCTCGCCTGTGCCACTTGCCAGAGCTTCCTGCTTCTGCAGCCATCTCCTTCTCCCTTCCATCTCCTCCCTTCCTTTCAGCTTCAACTCTTAAGCAAATACTCGCAAACGTGCCCGTGGCATGCATATCAAAATGATGTATGCGTGTTAGATATGTTATAAATTTTATTCTAGCTTCAACTTCTACTTATCTGCTTACTCTTTTCTCCATTTGTACAC